GATAAGGGGAGGTGAAAGACCCTCTGGGTATTCTGAGCACCTTCAGTGCACAAGAGAACACAGAGCAAAAAACCTTGCAGTTATAAAGCCTGAGGAATTTTAACTGTCAGATGTTGTCTTGTCTTGCTCTTCCCATGGGATTAAGCAACAGCTTGAGGGAGCCAAGGATCAAATGTGATTATTCCCATTGGACCTTGTTTCAGTTTTGCTTGTAATATCACAGAAAGTAAATCAATAAAACAAAGATAAGGAATCTATGGTGGAAGATCCATGGAAGTTGAGATAAATACATGCAGTTACGTGTCATTCCAGTGTGACTCACTGTGCCAAGCACCAGCCAGGGGAGAGAAGGAGCTGCTGCTGCTCCTCACTCACCAGGAATCCTTCTTGTACAAAGGAGACAAAAACTACACATTAGAATTCTACAGATCTTAAAATACATCCATTTTTATAAACAAGGACTTGGGATTTCTGTGCTGGTTCTCCCCCACACCACAGTGAGGATCAGGGCAGCCCTCATTCCCATGCAGGAAGGCAGAGGTGCTTCCCTGCTGGACAGCACTGGGATCACAGTGATCTCAGCATGAACACCCTGTCCATCAAAATATCTTCATTAGTGACTCCAGCTCCCAATTCCTACTTAGAGCAGAGGAGGAAGGCTGGGAAGAGCGAGGAGTTGGGATCAGAGCTGTGACAGTGTGTCAGAAATACTGAGAGGGAGCTCAGAAATACTGGGGGAGACAAGCAGGGAATTACTGAGGCTCTTCATCATCTCCATCCTCTACTTCCTAACCAAGAGCTGGATTTGAAGCTGTCCAGCAGACCCTGCTCCAGGCACCAGTGGCTATTTTTAACCTCTCCATCCCCACTGGCTCAAGCTCCTACACGAAACACTAGATAAGAAAATCCCTGTTAAAAGTAAACAGGAGGAAAAGCCTGGTTTGTTTGCAAGGCTTTATGGAAAAACCACAACATCCTCAGTGGGCTCTGGAGACACAGGGAGGGGGGTTTCCATGGACCAGGAACTCAGCCCAGGCTGCTCTGTCACGCCCGTTTGCTCTGCTCTGAGCACCCATTTCCCGGGGTTTTCCATGTTTTCCACCACCAGATGGAGCTGCCCCATGTGTGCTCCCAGAGTGTCACTACCTCCATCCCTTTCGACCAGACTTTCCCCTCCCTTATCTCCTCTGCCGTTTGAAACATCTGTGACATCTCCTTTGGGCACTCCCAGCTCCCCAGATGACTCCCCACCTCTCAGGGTCAATCACGTCTCATGCACTCAGCTCCAGCAAATGGCCTGATGAATAATTGAGGGAGGAAGATTCTCTTTGTTCTATTTTATGACAAAAACTGTCTTGGGTTGGAGGCAGGAATTACTTGAATGAGTGTCGTGCAGGGCCTGTGTTTCCAGAGGGTGAGTTTTTAGCAGCCAGCTCTGAGCAATGAGAAGCTCACCCAGGTTTTATTCACATTTCTGTTTTTCCCAGCTAAGTGGTAATTTTACAAACACTGACTAACTATCTCATACATGCTTTAAAAGTACTCCCTGGAGACCTTTTAGCATTGACATTTGAAGAAAAAGCTGAGTAGGCAGTTGCAGAATAATTCAACTTGGCTTTCCTTTAACGAGCATACTTTGAATGGGCCCAAATTATTAAAGAGAACATCAACTCCTGATCTGGGATCCCACAGTTTGTTAATATTTGAAGCTTTCCTGCTTCCACTGAACTGATTTAAGCCCCAGAGCAAGTGGTACATGAGGAAATGACCCTGGTCTGCATGAAACATGCCCAGGGCACAGGCTCAGGAGGCAGCAAAGCACAGCTCCAACCCCGTGGGCAGGCCAGGAATGTGCCAGTCCTGCTCCAGCCCCGGCCAGGAACTGCACATTGTCCCAGCAGCTTCCTGGAGAGAGGCTTGAACCAGAGCAGTTCAGCCTGGAACTGCATCCAGCCACCAATGGGGGGGGCCCAGGAGCTTAGAGACACTTTTCAGCCCAATTTGGGGGTTCCTGGGGTTTATGGGGACCCTTTATCACCCCAATTTGGGGATCCTAGGTGAGGGAAGGACCCTTTTCACCCCGAATTTGGGGGTCCCGGGGTGTTTTCTGGGACCCTTCTCACCCTGGATATGGGGGTCCAAGATGTTAGGGGTGAAAAGGGTCCCCCAAAACACCTTGGACCCCAAAACTGAAGGTGAAAAGGGTCCCCAACAGCCCCTGAGACCCCAAACCTGGGCGTGAAGGTCAGGATCAAAGCCCTCATTCTCTCACCTCAGAGACTGATGGAACATTCTGGTTTACCAGTGGACCCCTGGATAAAGGGAATTCCCACAGGACAGGGCCATTTGGGGCAGGAGGGACAGGGAATGCACTAAGCCTTCCCCTTTCTGGAAGAGTGAAACTGAAATCTATGGTTTAATTTTTCCAAACTTTCTCCTACAGCCCCAACACAGAACAAACTTAACTGTTCACATCCTTTGGAATTATGACACAGTGGAGTGTAAATCCAGCTCAGATCCACCAGGAACCCACGTTTAAATCACAGGCAGACTCTGAGGATGATATGAAGAGAAGGAACACAGACCATCATTGTGCAGAAACAGCCAACTGCTGCTGCAACTTGTTCACCAGTCCCTCCTTTTCTTCTGTCCCCTCTAATCTGAACTCATGGTTACACCTCCACTACAAAGTGTTAATCACAAAACCACACGGGATCCTGACTCGCCTCAGACCAAGTCCCACAGAACTCAGCATGGGTGACAGGTTTTATTATTCTTTATTTACTCTGCCACTTCCCAGAACCCAGATTATTCTATTTTTAGCTCTTACAGGGCATGATTCAATCAGTCACTTTAAGTGTGTCTCACAGCTGATTTCAAACACTCAGAAGCACTTAATGCCCAACTCATTTTTTTTTTCCCTACTGGCAGTAGAACTTCAGATCTTTTAAAATATATTTAATTCACTAATAAATTAAAGGCCACGTTGGGCACAGAAAATATTGTAAGTCCTAACTCTGGGTACTGAGGTTGAGAAATCTGTTCTCTCTTCCTCCACTCCTCCTTCCCTGCAGCTCCATGAGAGGATTCCAGCCCCATGGAAGTCCTTTATGTTACCAGGACCAGGCAACTGTGAATTCCTTTTTTAAAATCACAAAGTTTCACGTGTAACAGAACCCTCTCTGTAATAAGAGCCAGCTGCAACTGTTTGCATTTCAAATAAATCAAAAAGGGCTCCACAAGGCACAAGGAATCACTGTCTTGGCAGGTGTTTTATGGCCAGCATGGGCAGGACACAGTGATGTAACACATGGATTAAGACAGACCATGCCTTCATTGATTTTATTACAGACCAGACAAAGTCACACGTGAGATGTCTGTTGGAATAAAAATATTCCACATGAGTGGGGGAAAAAAACACCCCAGTTATACCATTTAGAATTGGAAAAGACAGAACTGGAATTCCCAAATTTAAGCATTTCCAGCCATGAGCTACTTACCAGTGTGTGGAATCCAAAGGCCCAAGGCTGGCAGTCCATGGCTGCTGGTTAAGTCATGTCACCATCATATTTTCCATACCCACAGCTTTTCAAAGCTTCTCCACTGAGGCTGAGAATTTCCATGTTTGGTATGAAACCAAGCTATGGCACTGGAATTTCTCTTGGTCCATGTGAAAGGAGGGAAAATACACTTTTGTTTGGGTCAGAACAGGAGACTTTCCTCACTGAAAATGCAAAACAAACCCCCTCAGGTTGACCAATGCCACCAATGTTAAACCAACCGCTTTTCAACACCTCGTGTCAGGAACCTGCTCCTCTGGGTATGAAATCCTTCCTTAAAAGAATTATTTTAGGTAAAATTCTGCCCTGTGGGGAGTTTGTTCTTACCTAGCATGAAAATGGCACTGACTTACCCTGCTCAACACCTACAGCAAGGACACCTGAGCTGCTGGGGCCAGGTCCTCACAGGGCAATAACACAAGATTTCCACTCAACTCTCTTCCTATTAAAGGACACAAAAGTTTTAAGAGAAGTTACTGAGCATTTTGCTTTGATCTCCTTCTTCAGGTGTTGCACTCACATCCCACAAGGCATTTTTGGGATGGGTACCACATGAGCCACAGTGGCCACTTGCATTTGGAGTTACCTGCACGAACCATTAACAATCCAAGCCATCTAAAACCACCAGACCATCTGCTTGGGGACATCATTCCCTCCTCTTGCACGTTCTAATTTCACAACTCCAATCCTGCCACAGAAGCTGTTTTGTGGGTTGAACAATAAGCTGCAAAACAGATCAGTCAAAACTCATGTCAAACTGCTTTATTACATCTTAAATAACATTACATTTTAATATAGTATCTATCTTGCATCCAGCTTTCTTGAAGTACACTGACTTTAAAATTAAATACAAAAGGTGAAGAGGGATACAGGGCGTGGAGAAAGCTCTACAGAGTAGTTTCATGGAAGAGAGTAAGAGGGAATTCATCTTTTATGCCAAATCCAGGCCTAACGCACAATTACAGCACATTTTTGTACAGAATGTTGCAGAAAAAACAAAATGGAGAAAAGCTACTACTGCTGCTAGGAAGGAGCATTTCTGGATACAGTGAGAAGATAGGAAAGTTTAACAGAACAATCTGCTGTCCAAACACTGCTGCTTTTAACATTTTATTTGAAAAGAAAGCCAGGAAAACCTGCTCATTACAAAAATGACTCTGATCAGATGCAAAGGACTCATCCTGCAAGAGGAACTGGCTGTGAGGAACTGATTTTAGAAAGAAGATGGTCAAGGTTCCCTCCTCCCACTCCCCAGAATCTTTTGTTGACAGCGATTGTTTGAACAGGCTGTTTTGTTTTTTTTTTGTTTTCTTTTTCTAAAAAAAAAAAAAAAAAAAAAAAAAAAAAAAAAAAAAAAAA